TTGTATACAAACCTCGTGAAGAGTTGAAGAAAACAACTCAGTAGCAGATCAACAGATACTGTTCATATTGGTCCTCTAACAAGCCGTAGGTAAGCGGTACTGTGCATATGGTGCACGCATTAGCGTGCGTAGCCCGACTGGTTTTGTAAAAAGATGTAAAACCTTAAATGATCTCAAGGACCTCCATTTGGAGCTTTTCCAAAGTCTCCGTTATCATGAAATTGAGTGGTTCTAGTCCCAACCACCCTGACAGTTTAAGGGAAATGATGTGGATCTATTTTTTCTCGTCTCATATAACCCATAAATGCCGGTCTTCCAGGCCATGCGGGCGATCCAGTTAATCCTTGTCTTCCTGGTGCTCCGGCGTATCCAGGAGGATCAGGAGGGCCCGATCTACCAGCATAACCTGGTTCTCCGGGACGTCCCGCATTCCCATTGGGTCCCCTATTTCCGTTGGCTACACTTGGTCCAGGCGCTCCTCGAGAGGACCAGAATGGCACTGAAGTGGTGTCTCGGCCACGACATCTAATTGGAGGTTATACTTAGCTCTGACCGCAGACCTTGCTATGTTGGAGCATTAACCAGAAAGATTATATCCTACTTTATATAATTCGCTAAGTGTGTCTGTTAGTGTATGTCGGTGTGTGTGTTTGACCAGAAATTCATAACTCCTGTTCCTGTCTACCTAGAGAGCTCAAATTTGGTAGCAGTACAGGGGGGGGGGNGGCATGGAAACACTTATGGCAGGTGGTAGAACCAGATGCCGTTCACAGGGGGCGGGGCGTGCGCGATGGAAATTTTAGGTCGCAAATCCGTAACTCCTGTTCCAGTGGACCCAAAGCGTTCAGAATTGGTAGGAGTACAGGAAGCAGGATAGGAAACTGATGGTGATAACAATTAGAAGGAGTTGATAGAGAGCCTTGAAAGGCGAGAGCCACAGGAACCGTTACTTACTTTCTGTGAACGACAGAGCTTTGGCACTTTTAGGAACTGTTAAAGACTTATAGAAACTGATAGGAGGCGAGGGCCAATAGTCTACAACGTCTTTCATAATAACAACTAAGCATTCCAGTAGATAGTGCAGGATGTGAAGGGGCCGAAGTTAATTAGTGATAAATACAGATAATAACAAGCGAGCAAGCGTTGCAATCCCCTCCGTGTCAACAGTGGAACCTTACAATGACTGCAATGTAGTGTGTCGTAGGTGCCCTGTTACAGGAACTGATAACAACTGATAAGAACTGATAAGGGGTCCCAGAGAGCAAAAGGGTATTCATTATCAAACACTGACTCTTTAATGCTGTAAATCCTGTAATAGCAACTGATCAAAGACATTTCTCCATAACGAAATGAGAATTTTGTTCATTTCTTGCTATTAAACTACGACCGTTACGCAGTAAGCTTTGTAAGACAATGAGGTACCACGATTCCTCTTTGTTTTCTGACATATCATTTGTGACTAAACTCATCTGACCGCTAATGATTTGAGATTCCCAATCAATGAAAAATTCGTGGAGAAAATGTTCCATTGATAACGACGTCTGTGACAGGGGTTATTATCCATTTCTGATTACTATTCAAGACATTGGTTGCCAATCAGTTAAGCCATCAATGTGACACATTTTCGAGATGAAGAGCAATGAATCGAGACTTCTGATTCTAATTAATATATAATTAATTATAATACAGAAAAAAATTGCTCCCAATTCGGAGCTAATACTGAGGGTGTAGAGCTTCCGAAGAAAAAGGACAATCCGAAGTGTTATTCACGCATAGCAATTTCGTACACGAAGGAAAAGCACCCGGCGAAGCCGGGCGACATCATAAGAAGGAGGGAAGCCCGGCGTTGGGCGGGCGGCCCGACTGGTTACTTTCATATCCAGGTAAATTAAGTTCTCCGGCAAAACATTGCAAATTGTTGAATTGGTTGCGGGGTGAATGGTGATGTGCGATTTGATTTGTGAAATTGACTCTTCCTCACCTGAAGTCTTTCCTGTGGTCTATGCAAAGGACAAAGTAGAGGACAAACCTAACAGTACCCGTGCTCTGTAGTTGATAAGGGCAGTGTTCGTAGTAGTTGTCAAATGGCGAATTACTTCAGGTCGTATGCTTTCTTTAGTAGGGTTTCTGTCCTTCTAATGTTCCAGCCAAATTTTGGTCTTTAGAAGCAAGTGGGTGAACCTCTGCAGTGATAACTTTTGCTGCACATACGTTTTACAAATGCTAGCTCATGAAAACCGCGAATCACATGGAATGGAATCCTATCCTAGTCGAACGAGGTTTTTCATTACAATTTCACAAGGCAACAAGTAACCGTTGCCTTATGATGGTGCAGTGCTGCTGATGGCGAACACAGGTTGTTTTGCATCTTTATATCGCACCTTTACGTAGAAAAGTACATTTCCAATCCTGCTTTTTCTAGTAATTCTTCTCAGTGCAGTTAACGAGACAGCCAGATTAAGCAGAGTATCTTCTTTAATTCTCTACATATTTGTAGGTGTGCAGATGTGTAAAGGTAATTCGGATAAATACCTTGAACTGGTTCCCACTGTTTTCTGTGGCAGAGTAGGATTGCTAGCCGGTTCCTCTCCAGTTCTCTCCTTGTGAAAATTTTGGTTCTGAGACTTTCTGTTTGGTCCTAAAAAGAATATGCAGGATTTTGGATGAACGGCATATTTTTTCGCACAAAAAGAGAACAAGTCGGCATCAGGAGGGTTCTCCAATTGATAACGATTTCTTTACTGTCCTGCCTTTACCAGCGGGGATTTTCCCTATAGACCTTTATCTTTCGTACCGCTTACCTCATCTCATATACTTGAGAATGACGCTCCACTGGTATTACGAAAGGCTCAGCGGATCCATGAATTTTCAAGAGTTTTTACTCAGCCCTATCTCTTCCTGTCGCACACCATCAACGAAGTCGCTACGCATCACAAAACAAATAGCGTTGCCAAGGTTTCTATTCGGAAATGGAGGCCGATGCATGCAGAAAGTTTCCTTTTATGGTCCTTTCATAGCCTTTACTACAATGATTCCGTCAAATGGCATGTGTCAGGACTGCGTCAGCGTTGCGAAGGGCACTATGGTACGCCCAGGTGTTTCCCTCTTCTGAAACTTCTTACCAACCTCGTTCGGCTGTTTATACTTTTCGTCGTCGTTCAATGACGCGAAAAACGAAGACTCCTCACTCAGAATGAACATCAGCCAATCCTAGCGAATTCAATGGCTTTTGATGATCAAATTGTAATCGGACTCATCTATTTTCTGCAGTATCATTCTCATTTTCATTACCATTTTCTCCCTCCTCTAGTCATTTTCATTTGTATCAACAAAAGAGAGAGACGTCTGGAAATCCAGTGAGACAAGAAGCGAGACAGCTCAGCTCGTCAACCAAGCTCCCCCCGCTTTCCACCCCCATTTGAAGAGCTTTTCACTGAGTATTACTTCGTCTATAAAATTGTACTTGTAACCTTGTCACCAGTGGATGCCAAGATACGATCTTCTATAGCTGAGGGTAGCAAGGTGAGGAATGGAGGTGGAGGGTCTCTCTCCAGTGCCCCATACAATTGATTTTTATTTGATAAACCATTATAAGTGCAGCTCGATGACATATCTTTTTATGATCGCGAACCTGGACCAGAGAGAAATATCACTCACCAGAACATGGTTAGTGAAAGATCATATCTTGAGTTGCTTACAACATATAAGATCCCCTACAATTGGAATCGCCCAAGTAATGCTAATATGAAGGTGAACTTTTGTCGAGTTATCGTGGTGCCTTCTTAGAAAGGCTTTTTGATTCTGTTACGTTCTATAAAGTGAAAGACTGACCGATCAAAAAAAAACCACGTAACTGTTTTATGTACAAAGGGGATACCAGCACGGTGTTGATAGGCGTTTTGATATCATCTCAGCGGAAGGATGTTCATTCTTCTCGATAGTTGAGTGAAGGTTGACGTAATCTCCGCTGACATGGTTCACGGTATGGTTTTGAGTGAAATGTGCGCTTCAGGCCTTCACTCTGCCAATAATTTTTAGGCCTATTCTTCATTAGCATTGCTTTAATATTATATCAAAGCTACACGTTGGTTTACGAACGACCAAATTTATCGGTAGATATCGAAGGCGTCGGAACGTGTACTGTTGGTCGGCTTAACTACTCCTCACGCAATCCAAAGGACGGTCTTACTGTAAGGGTGAGTAATAAAAGAATGCACTTTTTCGATATTGACATGTACTAAAATTCCAGGCTCTTACAAACTATAGCAGCTCTATTGGTGTATGTCAAGTGACATTCGTTCACCCATATGACTACGTGAATTGTGCGAAGCCTTTAAATGATATCCTTCTCCGAGCCAGTTATATACCCACTTCGTTCGAAGACACAGTGAGTAGGTCTGCTTAGACCATTGTTTTCGGTGTTTCGGCTGGACTACAACAACCCATAAGAGCTTCCTTCCGAAAAGCCTTTGGAGGGGATTCAGGCTTCCCGCGATTTGCGTAAAGGGTGGAAACAGAAGACAAAGTGGAAAGCCTGCGTCGAAGTGGACAGTCTTCGCACTCCCAAAGAATGCACTGGTATATACATTAGGAGAAAAGTATAGTGAGCACTGAAATGATGCTCCACACTGAGAAAGATCACTGTGGAAGCTTCGGAAATAACTTCCTATCTAATATTTCCACGAGCAAATCACTTGATAATGTCATCATTACGATGCCTCTATCAAATTGCTAGAATCTAATTTGCGAGAAGCTCCATTGAGGCTCTCCGGGAATCTCTCTTACCTATAAAGCAGTAATTTGGTGTGTCGGTTGGTCGACATGTCGGTTTGTCGGTCTGCCCGTTCACAAAAAAATGTGGCTTGAATAAAGGTGATATGGTAAAGCCAGCTAAATCCCACATTTCCTTCTTATATGTGAAGCTGTGAATTGGTGGGTAGGTTAAGGTAGTAGAGTGGGTACTGCGGAATGAAGTGAGTAATGTGGAGTCAAATGGATACTTCAAACTGTGATTTCGATCTGTACTAGCATCGTGCTATGCATGTCTATACAGAAGTGGACGTAATAATGTAGTTGGGAAACCTCCACTTCTTTATCAACATTGAAAATAGAGCGCACATGAGGAATGGTCACAATAATTGTGCTCATTAACGTTTCTTAACCCAGAACAAACAGTTTTTTTGACTTGAGCTTCAGGAGGGGAGGAGCAGGTGTGGGGTGAGACAAATGAATATCCAGCTCGTACCCATACTGGCTGTTTGCAGAGATTATCGTTTAACCTCTCTCGACAATCTCTCCTTTGCACTGTAGCCCTTAAGTTTGTATAGAAGCAGTCCCCCTCCCCCTCCCCAACCACATTTCCGAACCACTTTGTAAAGTGAGGAACGTGGCCGACTCAACTGGTAAACTGGTAAATAAAAATGCAAATCAGCATGAACCCTTCTGTTGTATTAAGCCTATATCTGCTTCAAAAAACAGTTAAGATTGCAGCACAATTGTACGAAGTCGAATACAAGCCTTGACATAAGTCCATGCCACTCTAATCTCCTCTCAGAGGTGGCTCTAGAGGCTCACATATTGCGTTTTCGAAAATGGCCTGCAAACTGTGCTGCGCTCCGATCCCAGAGAAGTGGAGGCACGCAACTATAATCTCAGTGTACTAATTGATTAACATTGTCAGCAGACAATAACCAGCGCTGTAACCGAGTGTCTGGCAACGCTGTGCTTACAACACATGAGTTGAACGCCGGAAGCACCCATAGAAGACATGAAGCATACCGGCAGCCGTGTTTCTTCATTTTCAATGCTTATATCGGATGAAAGTATGAAAACCGGTCGGAAGACTGCTCAGTCATGGGCGAGACCCTTGGCTTCTCAATAGGATCAGACCTATCTATGTATGTCGAGGGCGCAGCCATTTTCTATTACAGTATTGAATATTAGACAGACAACAAAATGAAAGAAATAGTAAGAAATTCGAGTCAAGACGGTGTTAGAACGCTCTCAAATTTTATTGCAAGAAATACGTGTGATTTGAGATTTAAGCTATGC